TACAAATATACCCCACAGGCGGCCCAATCTCGCAAGGGTCAGTACAGACTAATATAGTATAAATGTATATTATATTATATTAATGTATATTATAGTAAAAATATGTCGTAAAATATAAATTTTAAAATGAAATTGACTTGCCTATTTGATAGTGTGTGTTCTCCTTTTATTCCTCCTTTGTTGGACTAACATTTTCCGAGACTTTGTACTCGATGTTACTAGTATACATGAAACATGATAAAGGCTAACGATTCCCGATCGTCGATACGACGGCACGTCACTTCGAATCGAAAATTTTCACACTCAAATCGCTTTATTCTCCAAAAATATTCGCCAGCATGTACAACAAATGCCGTTCTTCGAAAATACGGAGGTACTTCGGCGAGATGTACAAGTTTTGGACCATATTTTAACAATGGAAATCAAAACCAATTTTCTATTGAACTTGCCCAGGCCGAAAATTACTACGGCGAACGTCTGCGCAACCAGGCCTTCTTTACCATTGGATTTACAGGGGGGGAAGCAGATATTTCCCGTAACAGCCAGCCAATCGCGGCCGCGATAGCGACTGTTTACATTATTTGAAATTTGATATTCAAAATAAAAACTCCTTCGATCGGATACTGTATAAAACTCGAGATGTTGTCGAAGAAAAGAAAATTAAACGACGGAGATTGAAGAAATTTAAGGAAGAAGTAATATACAGCAGCTCTTTGTTGGAAAGTATGGTAGAATATGATACTTTAATTCGAATATTATCGTGAATATATTAGTGGCATCCTCCCCCCTGTAAAACCAACGGCAAAGGAGGCCTGGTTGCGCAGACGTTCGCCGTAGTAATTTTCGGTCCGGGTAAGTTCAATATAAAATGGGTTTTGATTTCCATTGTTAAAATATGGTCCAAAACTTGTACATCTCGCCGAAGTACCTCCGTATTTTCGAAGAACGGCATTTGTTGTACATGCTGGCGAATATTTTTGGAGAATAAAGCGATTTGAGTGTGAAAATTTTCGATTCGAAGTGCCGTGCCGTCGTATCGACGATCGGGAATCGTTAGCCTTTATCATGTTTCATGTATACTAGTAACATCGAGTACAAAGTCTCGGAAAATATTAGTCCAACAAAGGAGGAATAAAAGGAGAACACACACTATCAAATAGGCAAGTCAATTTCATTTTAAAAATTTATATTTTACGACATATTTTTACTATAATATACATTAATATAATATACATTTATACTATAAGTCTATACTGACCCTTGCGAGATTGGGCCGCCTGTGTATACCCCAACAACGACATGTGAGATTGGGATGACTCAATCTCGTTCCCCGAGCCTGCGATCCTCGGGAAGGAACGCGAGGCCCTGGGACAATCCGTTTCAGGGAGGAATCCGATTGGCCGTTGATATGGAATGCGCAGTTCGGTCTTAGCCAGGATTCCTGGCTTCCGGCAACGCATTATCCCAGAGTCTCGCGTTCCTTCCCGAGGATCGCAGGCTCAGGGAACGAGATTGGGATGACTGTGGTTTAATTTTCTAATTTTGTTAGATAAGAATTACCAACTATAGCGTACCAGGTGATCTCGGAACTCGGAAAAGGCCTGGCACTAGTTGTAAAATAGAAATCCATTTCTGGTTTAAAATTACTCAATATCTCATCAACGGTACTAGATTTCTATCTCAAATTTGTCCCAGACATTCATTTCCCTGTGCAAGACACAGACACAAAGTTTCAAACAGTTTCACAAAAGAATCAGGGTGTGACAAGTGATTAAATGTACGAAACTGGATTTCTATTCTGTTGCTAGTCCCAGTCCTTTTGCTCACCGTCAGATCACCTGGTAAACATGGCTTCCACAATAGTGAAATGTAAAACATGAAACACTGATTGGTTTGGCAAAACAAATCGCTGCGAGAAAGATGTATCAGTTTTCTTTATTCAAAAGATTCCATCCCGTACCATGATGGTGGGTTAATTTAATTTTTCGTTTATGTTTTTGCTTTTATTCAATTATTCTCCAGATCTGTTGCGAAATCTTGCAGGGAAAGACTCTGGCTGGCAACCCTGGCCTGAAGCAGGGAGTGAGGGAAGGTAATACCCTGGGTATGAGGTTGGGCCTGACCCAGGAGACGAGTAGGCATGTCCCGATTGTGCTCATAAAATCCCAAAAGGTTGCTCTCTAAAACAAAAGTTTGCTCTCCAAAAAGCATAAAAGTTGCTTAGGGACGAGATTGCAATAATTTTTGTTTTTGCAAAGTGGAAACACCACTTGGATTATTTTCAGTGCTTCCATTTTGAAGCAAATTTAAAGTAGTTGAAGGAAATTATAAGGAAATTCGAAGGAACTTTCAGAAGATTGAAGGAAAGTGAAGGAAATTGCCTTATTTCTAAAAAATCCTAAGAATACGGCAATTTCCAAGGAAATGCGCTTCAAAATATGCCAAAAATCCTGTCCTGCGAGATGCAAAATCTGAAAATTTTCTGGGGGAGGACCCCAGACCCCCCTGGTTATTCTCCTTCGTGTTAATCTAGGGAAACTCTTTGTCTCTCCCCTTTCATAATTCTTCCCCTGCAACGTCTATGTTCCTCCTAGAACAAGAAATTCCCCGTTATTCGAAATAAATTACTATAAAATCAGTTTTAAATTAGGTAAAATTCAATAATTTTATTGGAAGGAATTTTTTTCAAAAATAAAACAAAAATAAGGAAATTTTGAACGGCTGGAAGGAAATTATGTTTTTTGAAAATGGAAGCACTGATTATTTTTGGCCATTTGGTAGGGATGGGCGATACCAGGATTTTTAATTCGATACCGATACCGATACTTTTAAGATCGGTATCGGCCGATACCGATACCTATTTCGATACCAAAATGAACACAAAATTCCAATTTTCGATACCGGAAATGAGTACTTAAATTGCTAGTATCGCTACTTTCGATACCTGCCTGCCGGTCAGCGGAATAGCATGCGACCTCCCCCCCCCCGTCGCCAAAAAATTTTCGGTCAGTGTACCATTTTAGGGGTTAAAAAATTTTTCCGGACATCAGCAACTTTCCCCATTTCTCAACAATTTTTTTCCTAAAATCCCAAAATTTTCCATAATTTTCTAAATTTTTTGTCAATTAACCACATTTTTTCCAAATTCACACTTATTTTTGTAATAAAATCTTATTCAACCAACAAGTGAAATTAAACAAGTCATTTAATTACAAAAGGGTGCAAGTATCGAACGATACCACGTCAGTAATCGATACCGATACCGCTGTTTCTGCATGGTATCGCTGGTATCGAATACCGAGTACTCGGTATCGCCCATCACTACCATTTGGGCGCCATATTTTGATACTCGTGTTGCTTGCAAACTGTGTCTGTGAATATTCTCATTTTTATGATCAGAAATTCTGTAAAAACCGAAGTATTATAAAGATTTGGTAAAAGCAGACTCGAGAGAACGGTTGGGTGATATTTATATCGATATTTGACGGTACGGGGAAAAGATCAAAAGCTGAAACCATGTCTAGGAAATACGAGGTTTGTAACAAGTTATTTTCTAAGAAAGGAAATTTGGTGGCACACAAACGAACACACAGTGAAGACAAACCTTACGAATGTGATGTTTGCAATAAAAGATTTTCACAGTCGGGCAATTTAACCGTTCATAAGAGAACACACACTGGAGAGAAACCTTATGAATGTGATGTTTGCAACAAACAATTTTCACGGTCAAGCACCTTAGTTTATACCCATAAAAGAACACACACTGGAGAGAAACCTTATGAATGTGATGTTTGCCATAAAAGATTTTCGCGGTCAGACGGGTTAGCTAGCCATGAAAGAACACATACTGGAGAAAAACCTTATGAATGGGATGTTTCCAAAAAAAGATTTTTGCATCAAAGTAGTTTTGCTAAACACAAAAGAACGCATACTAGAGACAGACCTTATGAATATCACATTTGGAACACAAAATTTTCAGAATCACACAGTTTAACACGACATAAAATATCAGCACACAAGGTAAAGCAGTGTTTTGAGTGCGCTACATGTAAGAAAATATTCAGACAACGTAAAAGTCTCAAACGTCACTAGAGAGTACATTCAAGAGATGGCTTATTATTCTGCAACAGTTGTGGCAGGGAAATTGTTCAGTCGCAAGGTCAAGGACATGCTAATGAGATACAGAAGAGTGATGATTATTTTGTCTGTGACAAATGCAACAAAACTAGTACCCTGATATTGAAAGTTTATATCAACACAAGGCCGGAGACCATGGTACGTCCTACCAATGTGATGTCTGTAAGGAATTAGAAGCAAGAGAAGCAACTGGTATTGGTTATATCTGTTGTGTCTGTGATGCCGAGTTTGAAATTGCCACTAAACTTGAATATCATATGAGTATGCATGACAATGTGCTGCCCCACTAGCAAGGCAAGATAAATTGAAACTATTTTGGGTTTTACTAGGCTGATGCGATATGAAAAAATCAATATATTGATATAGAACAAAAATATCGACTATTCCGAAATTGTGCCTCCAAATAAGTACGGAACACGAAATGTATTTTATAATTTAATAGCAATAAACTACACTCCCAACTCGCTGTTTTAAAATCCCAAGTCACCGTCACAACATTGTTCACTCCCCCCTGTTTTCTCGCACGTGTTCAGCAATCCCCTACTAACTCTAAATGTCCATTGTTGCCCTTCAAAATACACTAATGTCTAAAGCAAAATAACGTCAATTTCCAACACCCTCCCCCCATGTGACTCATAAGGAGTCGCATGTTATACTAGTAAACCCTGATGTCTCAATGTTTGATTGTCATTCGTCCTTCTCATCCCGTTCAAACAGTTCCTTATTCTTTGCTTCTGCTCTGACCGCTGCTTGTCGTCTTGGCTTGAATTATTTTGCATTGGTATTCAATTTCGTCTTGCATTTCCCCACGTCGCATTCCAGTTCCAAGGGATAAATCAGTTGAATCGGTCTTTCTATAGTCGATTTAGCGCGTTGAAGTTTAACTCCCCTGACAACGTTATCTTTCCCACGAATTAACTTCGTAACTTTTCCCATTTTCCACTTGTTTCTGTTCTTCTCGTCGCCTTTAATCAACACAATATCTCCTTCATTGGGACCAACTGTAGTTGACTTGCTGTTGGTCTGATGACGCTGCCGTAAACTCGTCAGTTACTCTCTTTGCCATCGTCTCCATAGATGGTTCTTTACGCTTTGCAAGTACCTTGCCCTCTTTCGTAGATCACCGTCCTCAATATGATAACATTTTAGCTCTGGCACAACATTCGACTGTTGTAGCACAAAGGAATTTGGTGTAAGAATAGGAAATTCAATATCATCCTCTAAGTAGCTTAGTGGCTGGTTATTCATACAGATTTCTACATCTAGAACAACTTCCGACAGCTCTTCAAATGTCAAACGTCCTTTGCCGATAACCTTGTAAAAAGCACACTTGAAAATTCCGATTAATCGTTCAAATTGTCCGCCCCACCAGGGCGCACGTGACAAATTGAATCTCCACTTGATCTCATACTTGCTCAGTTCACTGTGGAATTTCTTGTCTTTCATCACCTTGTTTAACCATGACGCAGCCGCTTGGAACGTCTTCGCGTTGTCCGAGTAGATAAGAGAAGGTCGACCTCGTCTGGCGATTAGTCTTTTGAGACTTCGAAGGAAAGGGGTTGTTTCAAGACTCTTCAGAACTTCTAGGTAAACTCCTCGAGTCAAACTACATGTAAATAGGACTAAGTATGCTTTCCCTTCTTGGGTTTTCTTAACTCTATACGTGATTGGGCCGGCGAAATCGACTCCTGTCTCCAATAACTTTATAAGGAGTAGTCCCTTCCGTTCGCGTTGTTGGTAATGGTGCAGGTGTTGGAGCTTGATAAGGTTTGGTCATAAACTTCTTGCATCGTGCGCATCCCTTTCACGACTTTATTATTAGGCGACGGAGGCGAGGTATCCAGTAGTTCTCACGAATCTTCGCCATCGTCAAAATAACTCCCTCATGGAGCGTCTTTATATGAGCTTCTTCCACAAGTTTCACGGCAAACAACGAGCTGTCGGGCAGGTAAATAGGAAGTTGTCCTTGTACTCGTCCTCTGCACTTCAGAATCTCGTTCGCATCGGCTTGTAAGTTTAACTGAACTGAATCATTTTGACATTTTGAATCTTCTTTCGCATCTGCTTGTACTTGTTTGATCCACCATAGACGTTGTTGGTCAATCTCATCGGTTGTTAATGCATGGACCATGTT